TTCTAGTAAAACTGTGGCTCGAAAAGTCCTGTTCGGTTAAAACGCACCAGAGTGGCCGGCTACATGCACTTCGTTCGGGTGCGGGGTCAGTTTGACGCGCTGAGTTCTAAAAAACTGGCATAGCTAGAAACACCGGATTCAAAGGGTGCGTTTTCCTGCATGTAACCTCACTTGTGTCAAAATTTGAGTTTTCCAGGTCATGACCTTGAAGTCAACTAAGATCAAACCAGATCAAACTTAATATTGGTGCATAAAGTGGCCCCGGACTTCCTCATGCAACCGTCTTGAACGTAGACACCTGCTCTGACAAAAGGTCGCTGGTTTTCGTTTAAAGTTAGTGACCTTTATGTCCTACAAGTCACAAGGTGACCAAAAAACTACATGTTTACTTATAGTTTGTCATTTCAATAAGCGTCAGGGAATACACAAGGCAGTATGTTCCTTAACACAAAATGCTGACCTGGTTGGTTCTTTTAAGAAGTTCATGGCACATGTCTATTGTGAACCGTCCTTAATAAACTCGAAATTAGCCTCATAAACTACCCTATAAAGCAGGCTTTCGACTAAAAAAAAGCCACTAATTTTGGCCTTGGGCTGACTTTCATACTAGACCTTAGGTCACTCTATTTTGTTATAATTCTAAATGCAATTGTTTTACTGCCTAAGACAATTATCTCAGAGATGTATGGCTTCCTCTAACACTCCACCAGATAGAACGATTTCCTAGAAATGGCCTTCGCTAGTGGCCTTGGCCCGATTTTGACCTGGCATAAATCAGCGACCATACAAAGTACATCTAATTTTGTAACTCGAAAGATCTCTTCAAATGCCTGCAGGTATGTCAAGTTTCACGCTGTTCTGTCGCACCGTCCGGAAATAATTCTGGAAAACCTTCGGAGGGGTTAAATGATCATCTCTGAGTTGTATTCAGAGCCTTTTTATGGCCTGCGATGCGATTGCTGCTGATAACCTAGTAGCTCAGCAAATCATTAAGTTCAGCTGTTCTTCCATACCTGCTCGTCGCGCATTCCAGGCATGACTACGCATTCCTATTCGAAGAGGCCGAAAGACTGTTGGAGCTTAATGCAATAGAGGAATGTAAAAACATGCTTCAGGGGGAATGTACTATGTTGTTTGCCTGCACTCCACACTGACTGCTGCCTGCCAAATTGAAGGAAATGTTCAGGAGCGTTGTTAATCTGTGGTTAACACCGGCACGCGCGGACCGTATGGGCTCGCACATAAGCCGTAAGATCCCCACCGTCACTTTACGTCCTCTCCAAACTCTCAGCCCGCCAGGCGCCTCGCCAAGCGTTCGTCCAGTCGGCCGACCCTTACCTTGCCTGCCGCCATGGTGCAGGGGTCCGCTGCGGTACCCTGCGGCAGCACCTCGTGGCGTCGTTCCGACCCGCGCCTTCGTCGCCACCCGTCGGCCGGCCCCCCGACAGACTGGCCGGACGCCGCGGAGACTCCGTTGGCGCGGGGCCCGGGCCCGCTCGTCCCCGCGGCGAGTTTTTCGCCACGCCCGAAAGTCGTTCGACGACGGGCAAAAACAAACAGGTCCAGTTGGGAATTAGGTTTCTATACCGGCGCAGGCGAAAGCCGATGGAGGGTGGATTCCGCGAGTGACTCGTGTATGGCCATGGAGCTGGGGGGTTGGTGTACGCGTCGGTGTCGAGATAAGGCGTCAAGCAATCCAGTCCTGCCTGGCATGACTTTCTGTCATATGGTTTCTAGACGGAGCCCGCAAGATATAGCCGGTGGACCCGATGTCTACTGCGAGGGAAAGTGGAAGCAAGTGCTGGCACCGGACTTAATGTTGTTTGATGGCAATACCAGACGCTAGTTTTTACCGCTTGTAGCCAGTGTTCAGCAATAACTGCTGACGGTGCGTAACTGCAAAGATTCAATGCTGTTCACGTACACTGAATTTCAGATCTAAAAAAAGCTGCACCGCATTCTTATGCGAAGGTGGGCTGCTGTTGGAGCTACTTTCACGACAATGACCGAAACAAATTTGTCATTCTATCAGCGTATTCCCAATTAGTGTTACGAGCCAATAGACAGTGAATAAGATATAGGGTTCGGGGGAAGTGGCCGCTGTCACCGCAACTTTCGCATTCTTTTGACTTGCTTGGAGGCATCGCGGTGTTTGAAACGATGTGGGATAAAGACTATGCGTGCTCATCCTGTCTTCAACTCTGCGGAGTTTTTACGAATCCACCACCTTATGGCAAGGTCCTGATTGGTGCCGAAAATGGGCCTACGTTGCTGACAAAAGCCTCTGTTGTCGTTGACGGTTTACAGTATGGTGTCAGTTGGCATATTTTTGGGGACCAGAGACCCCTGCTCGCTTCGCTGCCTGAACAGGTGACGCCAATGGAGCCGGAGGCAGAGGTTGAAAAGCCCACAAATCATGGATATGACCGGTGACAAAATTTGCGACCTACTTGCAGAAAAAATCGCAAAAATGGAAGCATGTTGCGAAAAGACATCCCGGTAATTCATGTTTCCTTAACGTTGCTGCCATGTTTCGACACACTAATTCGCTAAAATACCTTCTTAATAATTGCTACAAAAGTTGAAACACTGTTTTTACAGATACGTATGCGCAAACATGAGGCTATCATCCAACGAATTCAGCGAGATACCATGGGTTTGATTTATCCCTCCTTGGCGTTTACCACAGCGGTTCTTTTCAAAGCGCACTTTGGCTTTGGGGAACGGAGTATCCCATTGCCTGTACTGACGTACTTGTTTTAGTTTCAACCAACATGGTTCTCGGCAACTGGCCCTTGCCGTCCGCTGTGCCAATCACAAACGTTCATTTGTGCTGACGTCATTCATACCAGGTGAGGTGTCACTTTTAAGCCCGCATGCCCGCAATGTGCAGGTTAAAACAGTTCAAAAGTGGTACGTCTAACTTGTAGCAGATGACAAGGGCCGTAATCTGATTCTGCTGTGTTATGACGTCGGTGGCTGCTATGACTATGGCAGTGGCGACAACCACAGTTTTCGTGTGCCCGGGGTACACTCTGGAACTACTGGGGAAGGAAGAAGTGCAGTGTTGTTACGTAACGTTGACAGCCTAATTTTGACTTCAAATGTTTAACCCAAGTTTTCGTAACATCTTGATCGTGCTTCAGCGCCACTACCCAGTGATATTATTAGACATAAATGCTTCTGAGGTTTTACCAGAGCATATTTTTGAAACATGCACCAAACGTGGGGCACTCCCTTTCACACGCGCTCGGGTAGTGGGTCAAATTGACCCCCACGAAGATTTTTCCGGAATGGTTTCCGGACGGTGCGGCGCAGCCGCACCAAATTTTTCTTAGCTGTAGACAACTGAATAGTAGATCGTTTGGCGTAAACAAATTTGATGTACCTTGCAAGGTCACTGACCTATGACAGATCAAAGTCATGCCATGCTTTCAGCGAAGTCAATTTCTAGGGAATTGTTTAATCTGATCCAACAACGGAGTGTAAGAGGAAGCCATACATCTCTGTGATGCCTTGTTAGGCAATACAAATATTAAATGAGCACATTACACTGACCTTAGGTTAGGTATAGTGGTCAGACCAAAGTCAAAACCAGCCTGTTTTATTACTCTAGGGCTTGCTGTATGGGATAGTTTATGGTGCTCATTTCGAATTTATTGATAGCAGCAACCGTACTATACATCTTCCATTGACTTCTTAGGGGTCAGAACAGGTCATTGATCTAAAATGACCCAGGTCAACACATTGTTTTTAGAAACATACTGCCTAGCATAATCTTTGCCGTTTATCAAAACGCAAAACTCAGGGCAGTCTTGTACGATTTTAGTCATTATGACCTTCAAAAGGTCAAACAAGGTCACTGACTTTAACTGAGCACGTGTCCTTGTGCTTAGAAACAGTTATCTAGGTTCTGGGGGCCCTTTGGAGACCAATCTGGCATTTGGCCCTGTTCGACTCTACTTGACCCGAAGGTCATGACCTAGGGACCTCAAACTTTGACCTAAGTGAGTTCACGTGCAGGTCAATACATTTTGTGAACTTGGTGTTGCTAGCTCTCTTAGATCCCGAGATCTCAGTGAAGTCAAATTGACTCCCCCCCCCCCCCCCCACCAAAGCGAAGGGTATTTAGCCGGCCAACCGGGCGCATGTTAATGCTTACGACCCATTGCAGTTCATTTACCCTCACTGTGTATGGTTAATTAGATTTGTCTCTAGGTAACTAATTAGGCTGTCCCAAATTTTACCGGTGACAGAAAAGGCATTTTGTTACCCCTGGTCGAAGTCTCCGTCGCCAGCGACGTGGCATTGACTCGTGACATGAAGCGGATCTCATTAACACTAGGCAGCATGTAAACAGGGGAGGGGCGAGAGCAAAATTTTTCCGAACTCCTACCAATTTGAAACGAATCCCTGCGAAATCCCCCAGCATCAGGTGTAAAGATCACGGCTCCGAGGGTGGGGAGGGGGGCATGGCCCTTCCCACCTTTTTGCAACATCCATGACTTATTAACACCCGCAAGCTATTCAACATCCGTGGATCATCCAGGCGCACTGCCATGCATTGCTGTTTCGTACACTTGGGACGTTAAATAGACGATTTTAGTTGCGGCTCCCGTTTGTCTCGGCTGTATGGAGAGCCGGCGCCGTTGGCTTCGGCAAAGCTGCGTCTCCAGCCACATCAGTGGCTTTGCATCTCAATGATGCACGACGTGTTTTAGTTTTTTTCCCAAGATTTCAGTGTCTTCGCTCATTCGCACCCCTCCGTGTGGAGATTGAACAGTCATGATTAATTGTTGCGCAGGCTTTGCAACATGTCTTTAATTTTGACGGCTTTGTCTTTGCACACCTCGTTTACCTTGCACATAAGAAGAGTACCCACACGAAAAGCGAAAAGTAAAAAAGACAAGACAAGACGAGACGAGACGGGACCGGACGGGACCGGAAGGGACCGGACCGGGCGGGACAACACGGGGACAGGACGGGACCGGACCGGGCGGGACAACGACGCTTTTAAGCTACAGGTTATATTTATCCATGATATGAATGGAGGAAATAACTTCAAAACGTAAAAACTTACTGTTGAAGCCGCCACTCATTTTTAAAATGAGCCGGCTCTTCTCTGTTAATGCCCTTAGATTGAAGAAGCCCACACGTATAGCAAGCAGGCTTAACCTGGTTTTACTCGCACCGCAAAACATTGAAGGGATTCAGGGAAGACTCGGCGAAACGTATACATACGTATACAACTCATTCTCTACGGCGGTAACTAATACCATTCACGGCTGTGTGAGTACTTACAACATGACGATGACTAGTATAATTCCTGTAGTAAACTAGCCCGGAGTAAACATCTTCCGGAAGAAAATGAATGCATTAACATGCTCATTATGTCAGTAGCAATCCTGCCACATCATGCTGTAACTAAAAACAGACTTTCGGATAACTGATATATTGTATTAAAAGCATAGTAAGTCGTTATAAAAAGACAAATACATGTTATTAATATGAAGGCGGTGATACTTGTACTCGTACATCACAATGAACATGATCGAATTCTAACAACCGGCGACACGGTGAGCAGCTCCAGCGTAAGTTTGAGTGAGGGACAAAATACGCAAATTGCGCGTCGTCCGTCATAAACGAACCATTTTAAAACCCCGAATCAACGGCAGGTGGCATTGCGACAGCCAGCAACACGCAATGCTTCCCGAAAAAAATAATGCGGGAACTTTTTCCCAAACAAATCTACATTCCTATCGCTGTAAATGGCACTTTCCTGTCTGAAAACCGTTTTCTCGATGATATCCGTTGCTCCAGGCATCATGTGCGAACACGCTAAGCGCCGTCCACAACCATAGTCACACAATAAAATGCGTCTTAATCTTACGACACACGTCTGAGAAGACAACCTTCCTTGCAACCTGCTAGGATATATGCGTCATCGATTTACATAACAATGGATGTGTGAGCATTACTGACAGCAGCATGTATTTAACGCCCCATCCTTTTGACGCAGTTTGCTGGACATTTTCGAGAGCTGTGTTTTCCTCTGAGCCCTTTTCTTGGAAAAGACACCGGCGAGGGCCGAGGCCAGCCTTTGTCCGTTGCGTTGCTCGTGCCGGAGCGAAGGGGCTTCCACGATGGAACGTTCGCTATTCACTGGAGGGATGACAGGCTCTTGGGGCAGACCAAATGGCATGTCAACATCTCCTTCGCCCGCCAGGATTCTCTCAGTTGCTTGCTGTCCAGCGTCTCCCTGGTCTCCTCGGCCAGACGGATCATGACTACCAATGTCGTTGTGACGCTCGATGGATTCAGAACAACCACCGCTAACGTTTCCATCGGGCGGTTTTTCACGAGCATCGTCGCCCTCCATCGATTCTTTATAAGCAATGTCGTCCTCTTCAGGCTCATATTCGTTTTCAACCTGCGTCAAGCCTTGCATAAATGTCGAAACCGTGCTATTTAATGAATAGAATGAGTCGTACTTCAGGCTCTCGTCCGACGAGACTGGCTCTGCCTGGGAGTTTGACGAGACCGAACCCCTTCCACACAGCTCGCCTCGACGCGTCTCCTCGCCGGACCGCCCGCGAACGGAAAGCACGCACGTCTCAGCCAGATGCAGCCGAGCTTCATACTCCCGCTCCGCTTGCCGCTCTGCGTCCCTCTCGGCCTTCAGCTCTGCCTTCAACTGGGCCTCCAGTTCCGTCTTCAGCTGGGCCTCCAGCTGGGCCACGCTGACTGTCTTGGCAGCGAACAACGCTGCCGCCTTTCTTGGACTACTCTCCTCACATTCCCCCCTAGTAGCCACCTTTTGATGACCAATTTCTTCTTCATTCTCATGCGCAGCCTCTTTTAGGGGGATGCTCTCATCTATGTGCTTCTCGACAATCTCATTCGTGGGGTCAATCTCCTCATCTTCCTTCACCGATATGTCTGTGATGTTCCCGTCTTCATACTCAGTGAATGCTGTCTTCAGATCATATGCCTCTTTGTTCGCTTTGACTGCATCTTTCTTCCGAGTAGCGAAGCAATTATCGTCCAGCAATGCCACCTTGGTAGTGCACCATGCCGTCTCCCCTACTACTTTCGTCGGTGGTGTTGTCTCCGGAGTCAATAACGACTGGCTGGCTCCTGACACATCACCGTAAACCACCTCTTCCGTTTTTGACAGGTTGACCTCCCCTGCCCCACATGCCAGCTCTGTCTTCTTCACCACCAGGGCCTGGGGATTTCTCTCCTCTGGAATGGCCGAAAGGGTATATTGTTTCCCCGCCAGAACCAGCCCCTCCGTCGGCATAAGCGGTCCTTCCGCCCCTCCAAATATCGTTGGCGGCGACATATCGTCTTCAGATGCTGGCAGCGAGTCGGTCCGACCTGCCGGGGCAATCTCGCTGACTGCCTGTGGGCTCGGGCGACCTCCACTTCCTTCGGCCGCTGAAGTCTTTTTTAGCATGTTCGACGACCGTTCGAACGGACTCAGCTGACGGCTGACTGAAGAGGTAGCTGGAGATCTATCTGGAGATCTGGAAGATCTAGCTGGGGAGGCGCTTACACGCGGCTCACAGGGGTGTGGCGTCGGAGGCTGGGCGTGGACGGTAGAAATTCTCGCCGACGAGAGCGCTTCCTTTCTTCCGGTTGCACGGGGAGCATCTTCGACTACGTCGACTCCCTGCTGATGCTCCGTGGAGGGCTGCAGTGGATCGTGCGCTGGATCGTCTTCGCTTTTTTCCGCATGAACACGTGTGTCTGTTACTGTCGCATTCTTTAACGGCTCCATCTGATTTTCTGTCTCAGGTATTCTTGACACAATGGATGACATCCTCGAACGTCTCACAACGGCTCTAGCAGATGCGTATTTATTATGAAGTGTTTTTGCTTTATCCTCCTTTTTCATGCTCGTGGTCTCTTTGGCATCTGCGTTTGCTCCTGTTTGGCCATCCACTTGTGTTACAGTTGTTCGTTCCGTGCTCTTTCCGCTTCCTTTCTTCTTTTTTCTCTCGGTGAAAGGTGCAGCGGCTCCATTCAACGCTTTCATCCCGTTACTGACGATGTCCGCCGTTGTCAGAACGGTTGCTGTGACTTCCAATCTGTCCCCGCAGGCGGGGATTTGCTGCGGTGACGCCACCTCATCCGCCACCCCTGATTGACGACGTACTCTGTGAACAATACGTTCGTCGCACGGATCGCATGCATCCGGTTTCCTTTCATGAAGAACTCCTTTGACGACGCCACTATTTATACCGGCACCGCTCGTATACAAACTCTCGTCCTTCGACGCTCCGTTAGCAAAGGGCAAATGGTGGACTGTACTGTCCTCCGTGATGGCCTTACCGGAACTGTCTTCAGCCTGCTCGGTTGATGTACGGTTCGGTTCCAGACCAACTGTTGTTTCTCTGATGGTATCGCTTTTCTCTGGAGCTCGTTTGGGCGGGCCAGGTCGGGATTGGTCACGGTTATAATCACCACATTTCCGACTGCTTCCCAGGTGCTCTAAACCTGTCCCGTTATTGACGGCGCTGCTTTCTTTTAACGGCTTGCTATTCGACTGATTGTCAGCCCCCGGCAGACCATGTCCCTCCTCCTCTTTCACCTCCACCTGATTTTTATTGACCTCGACTGGCGTCTTCGACTTATTCTTCTTCTTCTTTTTCTTCTTCTTGGCGGCGGAGGGCAGCTCCTTGAGTTCCGTCTCGTTCCCGGACACGGCATCTAAGGCCTCAGCATCCGTCAAAGGAGGGAAGACAGGGAGGGTCAAAGACTGGCCGGAGGCCACACCAAACAGCGGTGGCTGCGTTGGTTGCGGCGTCATCACCGGCGACATCAGCGTGCGTACCAGGGTGCTCACGATGATCGGGTCCTGGGTAGACCTGGCCAGGGGCCAGGGTTCGTCGTCCCCGAAAGGAGTTTCGTCCTGGCTCCAGCTGCAGTCGTCGCTCAGGAACAGACTGCCGGGCGACTCTCCCATCGGGCTGCGAAGCCACGTCACTCGGTCACCGCCAGACACCAACCAGCTTTCCGGAAGTATTTGCAGACAGCAGCGGCGCCAGCCGGGTGCTCTCATTGTTAAACGCATATCAATAACGGTAGTCAAATTGTGCGGTGGTACATCAAGAGGGAGAGCGATGAATTGCTTGTTCCGACGACTAAAGACGTGCAAATTATAGTTACACTGCATTGAAGCAATACAATTAAAGAACAGTTGGTTAACAAAAAGCCACTTGTGCGAACTAGAGGCATCACACACCTACTGGCGTTTGAAGACTTTTCGTCTCCAGAAGCTTGTTCTCGTTCATCGGTCCCGTTTTCGTCCTGCGGATATTTGGCAGCAATATTATCGAGAGAAAACTAGCACGGTTGGGCAAAATTTTGAGATGTCAGACAGGTTTGAGGACCAACAACATCTTCAACATGTGACGTGATTTTCCGGTTTGTGCGGTCACTTCTATGCGGACATGCACTTACTTTTCAACATACCATGTAGGTGTTGAGCTGAGAAGTACTTATCGGGATACGTTATCTGTTCACAGCGATTAATCCGCCACCCGCTGCTTGTCGCTGCCTAGAGCAGTGGCTGCGTTAGCTCACCTCCGTGTCGGAACAGTAGGTCGGCAGCGCGGGTGGCTCAGTGAACTCGCTGCAGAAGAGGAACAGGTCGTAGGCGCGCTCCAGACACCCGCTCATCCGTCGCTGCAGGTCTGTCACAATGGGTAACGATTCGGGGGTCGCCAACATGGCCAGCCTGAAGAGAGCGTCCGCCGTGCACGAGCGGTCCAGCATCGCCAGACGCTCGATCTGGCAGGTCGGAAGACAGAGCTGATCAGAAGCTCGTTTTTGCCACCTTCAGCTGGTGCTGGACGATGGCGAACCATGCACATGGTGACTTGAACATAAACACCAGCTATTGCGAAATGGCAAATATCGTCAAATTTTTAGCACGCATCGGCTTCGCGATCATTTATACTCTAGCCAGTGTAAGAGTACCAGTGGAACACCTAAATAATATCTGAAAATACATTTATTGGCTGGCGAATAGATGGCTGTTCTACAGTGGAACCTCTGAGTCCCGGGTGGACTGAGCACCCAACTTTTTAAGGCATGTAACGTTAAGCCCCTTGGATTGACTTGAAACAAAAAGGAAGGCAGTTATCCAAAAATGGTTATCGTCCTTCTTCCCCTCAACTTCGGAAGACCGTCATTTCTCTTGCCCAAGCATCTCATCTACCTTCCCGCCGCGGTTTGGAGACTTTCCAGTAGTATCGCTACCAGTCGTGGAAATCATGAGCTGAAGGTAGGCATAAAAACTAGACAGCTATTCACTGAAGCCTCCCCATCCGATCGCCTCAGCTCACCTTGTCGCTGGCGCTCATATCAAAGATTTTCTTCATCGATGCCAAGTAGAGATTTTGGATAGTTGGCAACACGGGAGTACCCTCAGCCTGCTCCTGCAGAAATTCGGGCGTTATGGAATGAGACCGGTTCAAAAATCCGTCACAAAATGGGCCACATGACGGCTGGGCCAGCAGACTTGAAAGTCGCTCATCGACAGGGAGTCACAGAGCTGACACAGAGCCACTTATCGGAACGAATCTGTAACTATCACGCGACAACAAGCACAGCAGAAGGGTGACTCACAACAGCCTCCGTCCAGAAGTTTATCTCGGCCAGAACCATGCTTTTCACATACTCGTGGGCGTCCACACAGCGCATGAACTGGCCGGTGTGCAGCGCGCGCAGTACCATAGACTCGTCCGGGAACCTATGGCCATCGCTGGTGACACGAGCAGAGGTCAGCAAGCTCGTGAACGCACGCCGACCGGGTCACAAGCCAGCGAGCGTGCTGGCTGACAATGGAGGTTTGGCTACTTCAGAGCACGACAGTAGGGATGTATAGTGGACTCCTGCCCTATAAACACTGGCTGGCGGTGAAGACTTGACGGCTCAAGAGAATAACAGTAGGGGTATCAAGTGGCCGATCAATCACGACAAATAACGAACAGCGTAAAGATGCACTCTTACATTATTTCGCGCAATATTACGATGCTCGTCAAAGTCCAAGACTTCTCACCAGCTCTTTCCACCTAGTTAGGACTGCACGCTTGGCGGACACACATTGCGGGGTCGCAAATATGAACTCGGTAGAATTTGACATTTAAATGTTTGACATTTAACTTGGCGGAATAGTCTGGTAGCCTGGCAGGCTTCGTGGCAACCCATGCTGCCTCGGTGGCCATTGCTTACTCGTCATTTTCCAACGGCTGCGCAGTGGCTGCGAATACGCCGCAGCTCAGCTCTACCGGGTGGAGAAAAGGCTCTTCACGCGCAGCCATATCTGACATTCGTATCCTGCCCAGCTTGGCCCGTCTCCCGTAAGAGTGCTCCTGGAGGACGTAGAAGCGCAACCTCTGGAACAGCTGGTGGGGGTAGTAGGGTCACATAATCGCTCGTCATTTGTCATTCTGGAACTTAAGGGACTAAACTGACGTGATCCCTTAGGGGTCATCCCCGTGTGCCGTTATCACGGCCTGATGGAAACATTTTGATTGTACAACGAACATATTATATTACCCGAAAGCTGAGCAGTTATTTCAAAATTGAGTTTAGTTACAAAAAACTTGTCGCTGGTTTTCCTTAACACGCGCCCGGGCGGCCGGTTATATACCCTTTGCTCGGATGGGGGGTCAATTTGACGCGCTGAGATCTCAGAAACTAAGAAAGCTAGAAACACCAAATTCGCAGAGTGTATTGACCTGTACGTGAACTCACTTAGGTCAAGGTTTGATGTTCCCAGGTCTTGACATTCGGGTCATATAAGGTCCAACAATGTCGAATTCCAGGATGGTCTCCAAAGGGCCCTCAAAACCTGGATAACTCTTCTAAGCAAAAGGTCACATGCTCATCTAGGCTCAGTGACCTTGTTTGACCCTTTGAAGGTCATAGTGACCAAAATCATACGAGACCGCTTTGAGTTTTGCATTTGGATAAAGGACAAAGATTGCGCTAGGCAGCTTGTTCCTAAAAATGGGGTCTTGACCTGGGTCATTCTAGGCCAGTGGTCTATTCTGGCCTTTAAGTGTATGGAAGGTGTACGATGCGGTTCCTGTTATTAATAAATTCGAAATAAGCACCAGAAACTACCCCATACAACAAGCCCTAGAGTAATGAAACAAGTTGGTTTTGACCTTCATGCCTGACACCGACCAATGTAATTCGTTCATTCAATTGTTGTGTTGCCTGAGACAATATCTAAGAGATGTATATTTTCGTCTAACACTCCGTTGTTGGATCTGATTGAAAGATTACCTAGAAATTGTCTTCGCTGAAACCATGGCCTGACTGACCTGCCATAGGCCAGCGACCTTACAAGGTAAAGCTAAATTTTTAATCCCAGACGATCCGCTATTCAATTGCCTACAGCTTTGCAAAATTGGCGCGAGTACGTCGTGCCGTTCGGAAACCATTCCGGGAAAACCTTCGGGGGGGATCAAGTTGACCCCCACTTGAGCGCGTGTTTACGCATGCCCGAGTGGCCGGCTCAATACCCTTTGCTCGGGTGCGGGTCAGCTTGACTCCCTGAGACCTTAAAAAGCTAAGAAAGTAAGGGATACCAAATTCACGGAGCTGATTAGTCTGTATGTGAAGTTACTTGGGTGAAGACATGGGTTCATAGATCATGGATTCATGGTCAAGTAAGATGAAATAAGGACAAACTCGAGACCTTTGTTCAAAGTGTCCCAGACCACCTCATAGAACCACCTTTAACTCGGATATCTGTCCTATGTAAAATGTCACTGGTGTCCATTTAAGCCAGTGAACTTCTTTGATTAAGATCATGGTGACCAAAACCCCACGCGATTGTCTTTGTTGTTGAATTTGAACAAGCGTTAGGAACTTCGCCAGATGGTACGTTCCAAAACACGACGGATTGATTTGGGTCATTTAAGGGCAGTGACTTACTTTGGCTTGAAGGAAGTCCATGGGAGAAGTCTGTTGCGGTCCTTTTGTCCAGAAAGTCGAAATGAGCATCAGGAATTGGCCGATAAAGTTAACATACTGGTGAAAAGCAGGTCGATTTTGACGTCAGTCTGACCTTCATACCTGACCCCAGCTCATTGGAATTTCTTGGAATCCTAAATTCAATTGCTTTTTTGCCTGAGACACTATCTCAGAGAGGCACCGTTTCGTCTAACACTCCGTTGTCCTATCAGATAAAACGATTCACTAGCAATTGCCTTCACCGAAGTTCTGCTCTGACTTTGACGTGCCAAAAATCAGCGACCTCACAAGGCACATCTCATTTTGTATACTAAATGTGGCACTATTCAACTGCCAAAGCTCTACAAATTTGTGTGCGACTACGCCGTGCTGTTCAAAAATTAATTTATAAAACTTTACTTTATATTAACCAAACTTAAAACTAAACTTTAATTTATAAAACAAACTGACCCCGCCCGACGCGTGTTAAGTTGTGTTGCTCAGCCAGTTTATAATGTGCTTCATTTGCAGTTTCCAATGTGTTGCATTTTCCAGTCTCTAATGCGTTTCAGTTGACACTCACTAATGTGTTTCAGTCGCTGGTCTCTGCCAAACAGGTGCTGCAAATTACGTAGTTACCTTAGGCATTTGTTGATGACTCAAATCCCATATAGCATGCTCGGTATACAAAGATACTTGCAGGGGTGGTAAAATCTCCCGACCTGGTGGACAAGCTTAGTGACACAAATGTACATGTTCATAAGCTTGATGTCAAAAATGTCCTTGGCAGAAAATTTTAGTAACAGGCACGACGAAATAATACAACATTCTCTACAAAAACTTATATCAAGTCTCAACACACAGATACTATGCCTCCATGGTAATGCATTTGACTCTTGTACTGTATCTGGCGGCACCATGGTGTCTTTTTTAGGTTTCATCCCAACCCAGCGACAAAGTTATCCTACGATATTTAGTTGGTTGCTCGTTTCGGTGACATGTCGGCGACAAATTAGTGCATTTCCTGTGGCATGGCCGGTCAGCCGATTCACTGTTTTTAACCAGCCGACTCTCAGAGTCGCAAACTATACAGCATAAAATACTGAAAAAGATCTAGACATGGAGATTCATGTGCTCACAAAGGCATGTTTTAGTTGTTGTAATACGACTTATATGAAGTGGGCGGCGACTTTCAGTGCACTGAGACTTTGCAAGCGGCATTCGCATTGTAGTGTCATGAACCTAGGATTCAATTTTTGGGCCTCGTTTACTTCGTTGGCGGTACCGCGATTCAGTATCTTGTCCTCAGCCATTGACAGCTCAGAGCAGGTCGGCGAAATGATCCGATCAAGTAGAAATTGATTGTAATTATCCAGACCACCCTTGCAAGACACAGAAAAGGCAGGTGAAAAGCAGGTCGATCTTGACGTCAGTCTGACCTTCATACCTGACCCCAGCTCATTGGAATTTCTTGGAATCCTAAATTCAATTGCTTTTTTGCCTTGTCGACTCACTGCAGCAGTCAAGAGCGACCAAACTTCCTCCCTTTGAAATGGACCGTGAGTTCCATGTTGAAGTCTAATGGCACTCCTCACGAAAGGGAGTAGCGGTAGGCGGTCATGGTTCATTTATGCCATTTTTTATCTTGTCCTGATTGAGAGTGGTTACCAGTCACATAGATCTACAAGCCAGGTAGCCACTCGTGCCTGGTCACACAAGCCACCGGTTCCTGTTCAGCTCAGGGCTCCTCCCCCACCCCACCCCCACCCCCACCCAAGTTGTGAAGAAGCGTGCCGATCTGGAAAACATCCGTATGTTAAGATCGCAAAATTTGCCACTACTTCCCCAATCTCTCTTGAGAAATGTATGCCCCTGCTGGAAATGCAATTATTTCATCGATTTTTTTGTCAGCATTTAAACGATTATCCACAGTGCAACCTTTTGCTAACATGAAGCTTGGCTACTGGACATTTATATGATAGCCAATGATGCAGATAATGAGTGCCGAAAGCCAGAAAGTAAGGCAAACTGGCGACAGAAAGTAAGGAGTGAGGTGTGGTAGCAAATGTAGACAATCAGGGGGAGGGAGAAGGGCACAGGTTGCATTGCCATCTCCCCATTTACCCACACTTTTACGGAAGAGGTTTTTGGTGTTAACACGCGCGCAACGGATGCCACAGAGGCTACCAAAGATTTGAGCGAGACTGCATGATATACCGGACTGGCATATTCAGAAATCCTCGGGAGGCCGTCGCATCGCCCGTCCCCCTCCCCCTTCCGTCAGTGCGACTATGTTGTTCATAAAGAACTAGCAGCCTGATGTAAAGTTACTAACCAATTTCAACACAATTTGCTTGCTGGGGCACGGCGAAAGACTTCCACGAAGCAATGTATATTGCGCTGGGCTTGGAGCATGCCAATGTATGGTGGTTGGTTTGATGACAGTCGAGATGAGGCTCAAGGCGCACATATGGTTTTCGTAAGAGGGAAGCGTCGCAAGGCTCGATGAGTCCACATGTTGGACGTCATTCCCAGCGCTGCCTGCCACTGGTTCGAAGTCTGCCATGTTTATTGGCTGCCTTAGATAACAGGGTTCTTCGTTGTCGCTTTTTTCGCAGTCGAGGAAAGCAAAGCCAACCGAAGATCGAGTTTAAATGCGAGACCCTGGCAGGTTCCAACCTTGGAAACATACTTCTGTAATGATTTGGCTATTCCATAGTCTAGGGAGCGTGCACCTGCTTTCCAGGTAGTGTAAAATGAAGCGTTTTGGTTGTGCGCATGATATCGAAAATTGTGTTCATGAAGGAGGCATTCGGTGATATTGTTGTTTCCTGATGACGCTACTGGGCACGGGCTTCATTACTATTTTAAGTCATAAGGTATCGCATTACGCTGCTGGAGACCATTTGACTTCTAGAAATTTGGTCGGGGAGAAAAAGTGCACTTTTACCAGCCTTGAATACGCAATACGCGATAGGCATGGCATCCCATAAAATTGCACCATCCTCCCGAAACAGAAGTGACACATTTTTCTGGATGAGCCAACTGATCCAACTCTGAACAGGACGAAATTGCCGGGTCCTATCACCATGATATAAATCTCTCTCTCTCTCTCTCTCTCTCTCTCCTCTCTCTCTCTCCTCTCTCTCTCTCTCTCTCTCTCTCTCTCTCTTCTCTCTCTCTTCTCTCTCTCTCTCTCTCTCTCTCTCTCTCTCTCTCTCTCCTCTCTCTCTCTCTCTCTCTCCTCTCTCTCTCTCTCTCTCTCTCTCTCTCTCTCTTCTCTCTCTCTCTCTCTCTCTCTCTCTCTCTCCCTCTCTCTCTCCTCTCTCTCCTCTCTCTCTCTCTCTCTCTCTCTCTCTCCCTCTTTGCTTTTGGCATACTTTGCGGAATAAAAGCTCTAGCCATGGCCGCTGACATGCGATGGTGTGTCGGAGGCCGT